GGCCGCGGGCTGCCCGCCCCGCTGCCACGGCCGTGGGCCGCGGCCGCCTCCGAGCCGGGGAGGCCGGTGCCTGGGCACAGCCACCTCTCTCTGCAGTGCTCGGTTTGTAAACCGGGAGCCTGAACCCTTCAGGACCAGGAGATTTCGATCCCGGTGCGGACAAAAAGCGGCGGAAGGGCGAACTGGCGGTGTGGTGGGCAGGCGAGCGTTTGGTAGGGTAAGGGACAAACGTGCCGTTCACCTGCCAGCTGGCGACGGCATCGTAGCTGCGTGGTTCCACGCCGCACACCTGGGAGTTTGGGAGCTCTCTCTGGGAGTTCCCATCCCAAAACGAAAAGTGGGTGTGTGTTGGTACGCGCGGGTTTCTGTCTCTCCTCCTGGAGGAACAGAGTCCTTGCTAACGGTGACACCAGACCGTACTCCGGGGAGGTAGTGCTCTTCGGCTCAGGTGTAGATAGAGGTGTTACTTTCTTGCGTGTGGGCTGCGTTCTGGCTAGTGAGGGAAATTACCTTCTCGGAGTGAAAGGAGCTTGAAGGATTGCTACGATAGAAGATGACATCGAAATGCCAGGTATTATTATTATTAAATTTTGTAGCTCAGAAATATTATTGGGCTATATCCCAGAGGCTTTACTCAAACACATGTTTTCAAACATGAATGTGTGGAAGTTAAACCGAAGTGTATTGACATTAAACACCTTGGGTATTTGGCTTGCTTTTCAGAAACATTGAAATCCTTGCAGGGTAAGGCCTCTAGAGACTTTAAAAAGGCAAAAATTTTGCTTTAGGAGTTTTTGACCACTGGTCACGAGGTCTGGCCTACTGTAATCTACTTTTTACCTGCTGTTTTTTCCAAATAGTTAATTCAATCACAAACAGTTCTTTAGATGTAAGCAGTGGCTTTAGTTCAAGAGCAAAACTTGATGTTGGGGTTATTCATATGAATTCACACAGCCTGTAACCACCTCCTGTGAGATAACCAGATAATCAGTAAGGTTAAATGCTAACAGAAATTATTATGAATGCAGTGATTTTTCCAATATTTACTGAATAACTTGCCTGGGAAATGGATCTTGGTTTGGCTCTCATGGTTGATTCTAACCTTTCTCTTACCAGTACCCCTGAGACTCTGGTTAATTTTGTGGCACAGAATATTTAATGATGTGCTCTGCCAAGTGAATACAAGGTTTCAAATTGAATTTCAGCTTCCCTAGACAACAATTTTAGACACTTTGGTAGAATGTAAATGCATATTTTCTGCATGTCAGATCCTGGCCCCGTATCCATCAAAGTAAATCTTCAGTAGTTCCACTGAAGGCTTAGAACAATCCTAAATTATGTTATTGAGGTCAGATTGTGACCCTGAAGCTCTGGCAGAGACCCAAACCAAGAAATTTGTGTGGGAAATTGGGGAGGGAAGAAATTAGCACTTGCCTATGCTTTTTGCGAGAGTAAACTGTTACAAAGGTGTGAGCTAAGATGAAAGCTCCTAATTGTGGTAGATACTGCTTTCCAGCTGTTTCTGCTGGAAATAGTTCTCTCTCTGTGTATGGGATAGGTCCTTATTTACTGGTGGTGCTCTGTATTGAATAACAACCAATTTTACTTCCACTGACTGTCCCCATCCCCCTCACTCCCTCCACAGAAAAATCAATTAATCTTGTAAAAAGAAAATACAGGGGTAGGTTTTAGTTTAGGGTGTGTTTTTTTTTTTCTCTGGTGAATTGAAACCTTCATTTTCTCTCTCTGCCAAACAAAAGTGGCAGACCTAAATAGTATTAGGTAATTGTGGTTGTCATACTGTACATTGTACTGTGGAAAAAATTAATTGCTGTTTTTTCACCCAAGGATTTAAGCAGCAGTCCCTTCGTCTGGCTGGGAGCATGTCGTTTTCCTCCTGATTGAGACTGCGTACCGTCGAGCAGCATGAAAGGATTCCTGTACAGCTGCACTGGGTGAGTGGGCGGGCATCTCATTCAGTAATAACATCTAATTTATACAGCCATGAAAATCTACAGCTATAAATAAACAGTTCTAACTGACTTCGCTTACTTACTCAAAATAAAATGAGAGAAACAGACTGGAAAGAGAAATGTAGTGTAAATGTCGTAAAGGCCAGATCCTTACTCAGAGTACCTCAGTAAAGCCTTTTTGAAATCACAGGGAAAATGTCGGTTTGTGAACAACAATGCACGCTTTCTTCCTTATAGGGCTCCATGTGCATCAGAGATAGGAGGAAAGCAATCCCAACAGGTATTTTTTGGGGACAGGCATTCCTGATTGCTTTCCCAAAGCACATGACTGCAATCCAGCCTCTCCATGCAGGACATAGCAGAGAGCAGTGCCTCTTCTGAGCCTTTTTCAAAGAAAGAAACAACCCCCACCACGATTCTCCTCAAACCCCTGTAGTCCAGCAGCACAGAGGTGATCCTGGCGTCAGCAGGAGCCAAAGACGAGATCTCTTCAGCTCCTCTGGCTGGACATGGAAAGAACTACCCCTCCACGTCAGCGCCCAGGCTTTGTTTTGAGTTTCTGACATTTAAACTGTTTGTACTGGACTATCAGTACAAAATAAAATATTAAAAAAAAAAAAAAAAAAAGAGAGAAAAATACCCAACAAACCTGTACAGGGAGTCTCCTGAACTTCCTCCTCTTCCCTAATTCCCTTTATGGTTTTTCTTCTGTCTGGTCTCTGAAATATTTCCTTTGAGCACCCTTCAGCTGAATTCTTTCCATGTTCTCCTTTAGCTTCAACAGAAAGGGAGGGGAAGGGGGTTGTTTGTGTGTAATTGTTTACGTTCCCCTTGCAAAGTTAGCTGGAGCAAGTTATCTAGATAAACTGGGAATTACTGGATGCATGCATGTCTTTCACTGAGTTAACTTAGTTTACAGTCTAGCCCTAGTATGTTAACTTCCCAGACTAGAATTTTATCAGGTGCCTAACATGTGAGAAGAACAATCTGATGTATACAATTTATTTTTTTTTATTGCTCACAGGCAGCTTACAATGTGTTTCATTTTTACTAAACTCCAGCAGCATTTGAAAGATTAAAATAACACCCCAATGAAGTGCGTGCACAGTAGTTGTAAGGTAGGGGTTTTGGCAGTGAAGATGGAGTTAGACATTTAAGTACTGCAATGAGTTTCAAATCTTCATTTAAATGCAAGGCTAATAACAGAGATCTTTCTTTTTTCATGTTGACCATTAAGAAATACTTACGCTACTGCCAGTTTTGCCTGTTTATTGGAGTTTGCAAAGCAGACCTCCAGTGTTTTAGATGTTAACAAAATGTTGAGGCTAATAACAGAAATCAACTATATTGAGCAAGATTAGTAAACATGTGACTGGAGTGTAATTATATGGCAGGCAGCTTTATGTTAAACAGTGCTTTAAATTAACATGCTTTCTGTCAAAGCAATCATACAGTCAGTATAATTAGGTTACTTTAGCTGCAAGATTAACTGAAACCAAGAAAAAGGAAGAAAGTGTTGAGTTCAGATTTCCTGTTAAAATGAAGGGGAGCTATTATGCATATTAATATTCCAGAATGTTTCTTGTTAGAAGAACTTGGCTTCATGGTGAACTTTCTGAGCAGACATTCCTAATTACAGTCCTTGTTAGCCCAATTTGTTATCTAGCTAGCTTGGAAGTCACAGCACTGTTAAAATTACCCCCCTCTTAATTTTTTCCAGACTTGATGAAGGGCAATCCAAACAAGAGCTGGCTTGCATTCACAGGTCTTTTACAGAGCGGTGCCAAGCTCATGAGGGAGTTTGTTTACCAGTGACGAGTTTTAACCATGGACACATCCTCACGTACATTGTGCAAGAGATGAGAAATCTGTGTAAACAGATGAACACAATTTTCTTATTCATAGCAGTTGCAGAGTTATCATGTAAGAGACAAACATTTCATATTTTCCACCAGTTTTCCATATGCCTGATGACATAATGGCTTCACCAGAAGCTGCAATGCATTGGAGAAAGGATTTATCACAGCTGCATTTATTTTCCTCTACTTCATGGCTTCAGCATTAGTGGAGAGATTGGCTTGAAGAGGAGGATTCACTTGCCTTTCCGCCTGTAGTCCAGTATTACTATTGAATCTCCTGTTTGGAAGCAGAGGAGAACAGATTATTAGGAAAAAAAGGCACAACAGAGAAATCCTCTCACAGATCAAGCATGCTGTTGGGAGGAGGATGTGAACCTGGCCCCAGTCTCCCAACATCCCTGGGAAACCAAACCCATCTGGGAGTGGGAGTAAACGGTGAGTGTGTGGCTTGGACCAGCTGCTAATGCCGAAGTGCTGCGGAAGTCGAATGAGCCTGGGCTGTCCCCAGCAAGTAAGGGACTACTCATCTACTGAGGATTTGGAATCTACCGTAGGCCGCAACCCTTGAAAATAATGGTGCTTTGCTAGTGGGCAAAAAGTATCTGCCACCAAACAAGTCTAGCTTGGTGAAAGAATATGTGAAAAGCTCTAAAAATAAAGCTCATCTGAAAAGGCAGATGATTAATCCTGCAGCTAAGATCTCTAGAGCATCCTCATGTGTCTGGCCAGGATGGCAGAGGACTTACCAAAGACCCACAGCTTTCTGAAGCATCAGCTACAAACTAGATGTGCTACCGTGGGGCACTGAGCATGGCAATAACTGAATATATTTGGGTAAAGCACTGTCTCATCCTCTCTTCTTCCCTGCTGATGATCATTTACTCACAGAGAAGTCTCTTCTAAAGGTGCTTCCCTTGTCCATAGGCCTCAGAGGCTCTGAAATGCTAATTGCTGTATTTTATCTCTAGCCTGCAGAGCATTTGGTAATTGACCCGATATGAAGGAGAATCCTGGCATTTCTTCCTTCCCAAATGATCCTGTAAGTATTTTGTACTGACCAAACAGAAATTTTAAAGATGAGGGAGAAAAAACTCCACCAAAAAGAAAGACTAGCCTATTAGGCCAGGGACAGCATTATTAGCAAGCACCTGTTAATATCTGGCCTCCAGTGATGAAATCATAAGCCCTGGGTTGCTAGAGCTTCCGATCCGGTCTCCCTCCAGTGGATCATCAGATAAACTTGTCAGTGAGAGGAGGATGTGCGACAGATGGTGCAGGTTTCCTTTAAATAGCTAGACTCCTCTACCCGAGGGGTAAACTGCAGCCTGGGGGAGTGACAAATATGAAGGATATAAATATGCCATCACAGGTTTGTGGCACAACTAGGATAACTGGATGAGACAAAAGTAAATATTTGTATTTAGTTTGCAAACTCTGGGCTGTAAATCCTCTTAAATTTGAGTTCCATTCCTCACTGGCAATATAGTGAAATCATAGATATAAACATTATCTGTTCACTGAAAGAAATAGCTATACCTCGGACTCTTATTCTTTGCTTTTAAAGGCATGATAGAACAAATGAAGGTATATTCTGGATGGGAGGCTCAGTTTAAAAATCGCTCCTGGACACTGTAATAATGAAGGGTGGAACCTGTGGCTGGATTAATAACTGCCTGCAGAACTTGAACGTTTTAACATTCATACAAAAACCTGCTGTTCATAAGCCTGTACCAATAAAACTGTAGAATGACTTCGTACCCTACACAGTTGCCCTTTGCATCTCTTTATTTGCCACTCAGGTTTCTGCAATCTCAATAGCTTCTCAGAACGACAGCATTTAGAATTCAGTAGTATTGTAGTGTTGCTTTATATTGCACAGATTCATGCGCTGTCACATAGGCTGGGTTTCCCAACAGCTGACCACAGGGTATTAAGGGAGCTTGGTTTCACAAGTACATAAATACAAACGTAAAACCCAGGAAAAACAATCAGTTCTTAAAACGTGTTATATGCTTCTGTAAAATGTATTTCATGAAAAAGAACTTCAAAAAGAAGAGGAAAAATACATTAAAGAGAAGGCTGCCATCTGACTTTAGCTCAGCCTCAGGTGAATATGTTTCAGCATAGATATTCATGAGCTCCCAGGAGATCTGGAGGAGCACATGCATCTGTGCCCTGCACACAAGGAAGTTACTCCACCGTAAGTTTCCTCTTTTCCTGGAGCAACAGCTCTTATTCTTGTTGTGTTGCCTTATTCCTTGCTTTAGAGTTTCTTTAATATTGGCTTTGCTGCCCCTGGTGTTTCTCAGCCACCTGCTGACCAAAGCTTTCCCTTTATGGAGTACAGCGAGCATCCAGGCATGGCTCTGTTGGACCTGCTGCCCACTCTGAGAGCCAGCCTCCCTTTCTACACTCTTTCTCTCCCAAAGGACAGTTTCACCACCGGGGGATGAGCATTTCTCTGGACTTGGCAGAAGCCTCACAAGTGGTTTGGCCAGTGACCCTCAGCAGGTATTTAAATCACTGGTGGAACAGATAGCTGTTGCTAGCTATAGCTCCTATCCATCTGCATTTCAAAGTATTGAAATCAAGCAGCTGATTAATGTTGTTTTAGGGTTTTTTTTTCAGGTGTTAGATGGAAGACAAATTAATCTGCTCAATCTTCAAATGCTGGTGCCAGAGAAGAGACCTCACTTGAAATGTTGCTCTGTCTAATGTGGAAAACTTTGATCAGAATTTCTCCAGAGGATCTGGTTGTCTCACCAGGAGCAAAACCTGAGGGAAAACTGCTTTGCTTTATTTTTGAGGATTCTAGTTTGACTGGTCAAAGTAACACTAGATTGGTTGCCTGTGTGATGTTTTCTACCCATCGGGAACAGGAGAAGCTATTTCATGGTTCATCTTTGGTACTCAGACCCTGCAGCCAAATTCTTGGCTGAGGTAAATTTATGGCAGTGAAAGAATCAGCCCATTGTTTCCAATTATCCTCTTTGGAGTTTCTGTATTGCTCAACATTGTCTAGTACTCTAGAAACTCTGGGATTTAAAACAAAAAAAAAAGTCATTACTGGTACTATTTTCTGTGCCTCTCAGGCTGTGCAGCTGGGTTGCCTTAGTTACCACCAATCCAACTGTGCGAGGGGAGGGAGAGGCACATGAGAGATAATACATTTTTAAAACCTCCAATACTGTATGAAAGAATTTTTCTATAAATAATAAAACAAATTTAGGGTCTGGCATCTTTTGGTTGGAAAAACAAGGTTATATTATTGAACTGCCTGGATTTTCCAGCTCTCAGAAATAATACTGCATCTCTCTTGTCAAGCACAGGACATAGCTTTAACAATTACTCGCTTCGAGCTGAAAGCTGCCATCCATAGTCTTTGGAATAAGTTGGAACTGAATGTACGTTTAAGGGTGAAAAAGACCAAATATTTATGTACCTGGTTTTAGGAAAAGTGATAGAGGCCTGAAGCTATAAAGGAACATGGAAGAGAGCTCATATGAAGCATGGTATGCTGTGGGACAAGCTTCATTTCCAGCCTACAGGCTGCCACAGGATGTAAGTCCAGAAGGGAACCAGGCTTGCCACTCATGTGGAGCTATTGGTTAATCACTTCTTGCACCTTTGAATAAACAGAACTTATCTGGACACAAACTCAGCGAGCTTGCTTTCTTCAAACGGGAAAGAAAGAAGCAGCTGCCGCAGAGCCTTTTCCTCTGGGGTGAAGCCTGGTCGCAGCAGCCCAGGCAGGGCTCTCTGCCTTGGCAGATGCCGCCAGCATCAGGTCTCAGTGCTTGGTGGTACAGATGTTATTGGAGCAGGTGCCTCCAGAGGTGCCGATAGGAACTGAGTGGACAATTGCATTACTCTAACTCAGACTGTGCCTTTGGGGGACTGAGCAGGAAGCAAAACAGAGGGCAGAAATGCCTTTCTTTTGAGGGAGGGAGGGAGGAGGTGGGCAGTGTGGAGGGTACGGACAGATGAACAGATCTGTCCACCACCACCACCGATTGCTTTGCTTTGTGTGGGGGTTTGTTGTGGTGTTTTGTTTTGTTTTGTTTTTTCCTGCAGGGTTATTTTAAGTGCATCATCTCCCTTATTGTGATGGGAAGGTGAGACAGGAGAGGGTAGGATGAAAAAAGTATGTGGAGCCATTTTTGTTGTGAGAAGAAAGGTGTATGCTGGAATCGTGTCTTCATTCAGCTTGCAGCTCTTTTGACTCTGGCAATGCCGAGCCAAATATTTGTCTCAGTCAGAAACATATTAAGAGTCTGTCACACAGTAATTTGGAATAGTTTCCCTCTGCAGTGCTTCAGTGCTTATTGGGACCTTCTTATCAATACCAGCTTGAGGAAGTCGTACCCTTCTCTTGGGAGGACATGGCTGGGAAATGGATTGAGCGAAATGATTAGAGTTGAAAACAGCCCCTGCTTGCATGAAACAGGCATGTGCAGTGGAGTAGGAAGGAGTGAGAGGCAGTGGGCAGGAGCTTATTGAGAAGTTATTGCTGCCAAAACCCACGTATTATCAAACTGCAGCCTCAGCTACCACAGAGTTGGGGTGCAGCTTGTTTTATTGGTGTACAGCAAATCCAGAGAATGCTGCCAGTCCTGGGGGTGCAAAGCTGAAGATGCATAAGAGTTTTCACAAACAGGGAACAGTAACTCAGGGGGAGTGTCCTGAATGTGGATGGAAACACCATGTAATTATTAAGGCCATGATTTTGTGGCTATTTTTTTAAAATACTCTGCATGGAGAGGCAGAACCACCACACACAGGAGGCCTCCAGGGATTGCAAGGGCACATCAGGTATCAACAGAGGATGTCATGTTTATGTATATTCTCTGAGGATACATTCATGCTATCACAACTGGAGGTGCTTTTCAGCCTTTCTCTGTGCACAGAAAAGAAAGTTGAGTGCTTGCCCTAGTTTCTGAGAAATCTCTTAAATTAACATCTCTTAAATGAGTATGTTTAGTCAGCTGTTCAAAATGTGTCTAATTTTTGCAGTTAATCTGATCTCTGCTTGGCATGACCTTTTGTCTGATCAATTAACACCTTGGAAATCAAATTATTTTAATTCTGATTATCTCCAGTTTCTGCATCAGGCATACTCTGGGCCTGAAATTACTGATGTGTACTCAGCGATGAAAAAAACCAGATACCTACATGTATCAGATATTGGATCTCATATAAAGACCTATATGGTCTTGTAGTGATGATGTGGTCTTTGATTAGTAATAGTTGCTGGTTTTGTGATGCCTCTTAAACCAGTGCTAGCGCAGAAAGACTGCAGATCTGTTTTCATTTACCAGCAATTCTCATCTCGTATCATGTTTATGCAAGAATAGAATTTGGCCAAAATTTCCAAACATGGACATGTAGAACAAGCATCTTATTTGCAAAGGTATCAAATGGTGAAGTTGGTTATTCAGCACATTTGAAAGTCAATCTGCTGCTTTTAGGTAGCTGAGTACGGATGGTGAGAGACTAGCTACAGACACTCTACTTTGGCTTGACAGGCATGTGAGACTTCACAAAATGGATCAGGCATCAAATGTTCCCTGAGAACAGAGGGAGGTTGTCTTATTTATTTTCAGAGGTGTTTTTGCAGCGTTTTTTCTTTCATCAGAAAGCTAGTTTAAGAAATTGCAAATGTTCACACATTTGTCCTAAATAAAATACACACGTTTTCCTGACAGAAACACTTTCATCCTCAAAAACTTAATCTTGAATGAAAAAGGAGAGAGGAAACCAGAAGACGGGGGGGAATATAATAATAATAGTAATAATAGTAATAACATCATCCCATGCCAAACCCCTAGAGCTGCTTCATCAGTTATTTCTTTCTTCCACCTGTTGAATGTGTCCCCCTAAACTATTTTTTTTTTTGTAACTGCCCATTTGTCCAAGAAAGCTGCCTTTCATTTTCTTTAAATTGCTATCAATTATATCATTACCAAAGCAGAAGGGAGATGTTCTCAACCATTTGAAAAACTTTCTGAAGTACTGTTTTATTCACGAAGCTGCTGTGATGCTTTCACTTGGACACACTAATGCCTTCCTACAAATTGTCAGCAAACAGTGCCACTCCCTCGTCTGACAAACACCACATGATAGAGGCTTTTCTGGACCCTCGTTTGAGAAGAAATTCAAAATCCAATGATTATGCTGGTGAGAGGTGCTTCTTGAGCCACATTAGAGAAACCTGCCCCAGCCTTTTATCTGGTAGGGTTGGGATTCTTGGTCCAATTTGTTCTCTGTTAGTACCTGGTTAGGACCTGACAACCTCTATCAGGCCCCCAAATGCCACCCCACAGTGTACAAGGGCCTCCTTCCTCTCCCCACCTGCTTAGGCAATCACAGGAATTCATTTTAGATTTTTTTTTTTTTTTCATACAGATAGAAGTTTAAAAGCAAAACATGAACTGACCCCATATCATACGGTTGAGGAACTCCCCGAAGTTGTAGAAAGAGATGATGACGGCAAGGCTACCAGTGAAAAAGGCTGCTAGCCCGGCTGGGCTGAACAAAGCAAAGAGAGGGTATACCCACTCTCCCGTTACAGAATAAATCCAGAGGACCCTAGGCAAGGAGAGAAATGACTTTTGGTTAAGACAATTCAGTTAGAAGAACCACTTCATGATTTCCAACTCCTGAAGGGCCAAGTTATCAAAACAATCTTGATACAGAGAAAATTAGCTCAGCTGTCAATACATGTCCTCAACATTTGGGCTGTTTGTTGTGAAGCACACTTGAGCTGCTGCTAAATTAGATGGGTTTCGGCACAGGTTGAAATGCACACAATGTTCTGCTGTCACCCTGGTGGCATTGACTGTTAACAGCAGTAAAATAACAGTAAAATAGCAATACGCTCAGAAATAAGGATATACACTTGGCAATTCGAAGTGAGGCTTATTCATATCAGCTCTCACATATGTGTTTGCTCTTTATTATAGCAGCTTTCCAGCCCCTATCCAGATCTCAAGGGTCTGTGGAGACAAAGTGCTGTTTCTTACTGTCTCTATCCTGCTGCTGTTGACCACTGCTTTTGGGAGTGGAAAGAAGTTTCCAGGAGGTGAGAAGGCAAGAGGAATTCTGCAGTGCCTTTTCTCTTGGTCTAAGAGGAGGAGAGGAGGAGCAGGTAGGTAGGAAACAGATAGAGCTGCTTGCTCCTTTGTGCCAGAAGCATTTGCAATGCACTGCTTGGAAAAGGGAAAGGAGGAAAAGGACAATTATGTCTGCTTTCTTCCATTTAGGCCCTCTCTTTCTGCCTTTTTCTTCCCTCAAAAAGCGTTTTGTGACTGTCAGTTAACTGATATTATTTTCCTTGTTTACAGCTCATAAGAGTGGCTGGTAGCAAATGCCTGGACTTAATATTTAAATGGTCTTTAATATTAAAAATATACAGTTCATTTTTATATATATTAAATATAGAGAAACATATTTTTATGGATAAAATTTTATATATATATATATATATATATATAGTGAATATGTAAATAATATAAAAAATAGGGCAGGTCTCCAGTGATTGTTACAAAGATGTGGCATTGTAATGATGGGCAGCGCTTCCCTAAAACAATCCTTTGTATTCAAAGAGTCCTAAAAGGTTTAGTTCTTGATTAAGAAAAACACACCTGCGGAGTATGCCATACTTTCCATCACCAGTGCTAACCTGGGAATGCAATCCCTCTCTCTCTGATGGCACCCAGCCTGCCACCTTATACTGAGCATCATGCCTCAAAGAGAAGTGACAAACAGGCTGCCCCACCAACCTGAAACTGTCACAAAACTGAGAAATGGCAGAGTGGTAAGGGGAAAAAAAAAAAAAAAGTCTGAAAAGATGATTTGTCCTTTCTCTAGTTAGAGAAGGAAAGGACAGGGCATAAACCACCACGTTTTTGCCTTATCTGTAGTTAGAGATTCACTAATCCCCACATAAGGGATAGAGTGGAGAAATGGAGGGAGTTGGTAATGGAGCTGTCTGGGCTGAGCATAGAAATATTAAGTGTAGAGACTCATTTTCATGATTTAGGGTTCTTTCATCAAACAAACAGGGCTGTGAAACAGCTAAGTAATTAAAAAAAAAAAAAAAAAGGCCTGCACAAAACATCACAGAAAGGCTAAGCAGAAATATTGAAGACTGGGTGCTAACTTGAGCCCATGCAAATGTCAGCATGTGTTCTTCACTGCACAGGGCTACTGTTTTCTTAATGTATCTCAGACAGTAGAACAGAGAGTGACAACTGTCTTTATTTTATATAATGAGAAACCAGATTATCTTGAAGCAATTTGGCCAGCTGGTGTGCCTCATATGAAGCACTCCAACCCATGTTTTCAAACATAAACAAATGACTGTGCAGGAGCACTAAAGCACTTTCAGCTTTTTGACTTGGTGGGAGCTGTGTGTTGCCAGGGTTTTTATCTTGGAAGCATATGTCCAGATTCCTGAACTTGCTCATTTTGATCGCAGAATTGTTGACAGGTTTTGGTTTTATTTTTGTGGGTTTTTTTTTCCTAGGGATTTCATAAAATGTACCCCACAACTTGCAAATACATCTTGCTCATTTCTCATGGGTAATCACCTGTTAAATATGCATGCAGAATTCAGAGGCCTATTATTCTTAAGGTTTATTTGACCAAATTTCAATTTTTACCATGATTTTACCTTGGATATCAGCAAGTGAGTCAGAAGCAGGCAATGCCCAGAATTATGGGGACAATAGATTGAGATAACAGCCCTGGGTATAAGCAAAGTTGCCAAACTGCTATAGGATAGAGGACATCATATAGGTATCAGGGAGCAGTAACATGCTCTCATAGCACAGCTAGATGCAACTGGAGGATTTATCCTGTCCTCTCATTACTTATCCATTAATGTCTATGGGACCACCTCATTCACTGAAGGGAAAAAAAAAGGTATCTTTAGGGAATTATTAAATGAGAAGATCCAGAAAGGAGAAAAGAACATATTGGCCACATATGAGCTCTCTCAGACTGTGGTTAATTCAAAATTAAAAGGTTGAAAACTGAAAATGAGCATGCAGTGCAAGAAAAATGTTTTGATTCCTAACAGGGGTGGAATGTGGACATATTGCAAGAAAGCCATCAGTCTCTAGATTTAATTTGGTTTGAGTTTTCTTGTATACAGAGTGCAATCTATAATGATTTATACTCCCTTGCAAAGGCAGTTGGAACTTTTCTCCAAAGCCACGTGCAAAATTGTGAAGATTAGGATTTATTTTATACTGATCTGTTAGCACTGAAATGGGAAAGGGCAATGTATTGTTACTTTCTTTTTAAGATTTAAAATGCTGATTCCAAAATGTATATATTCTTCACTGTTTTCAATGTGATGACTCCAGGAGTTAGGCATTACTTAATGCAACTGGGAGATGCAAGACCCATCCTTGCAAGAATTAACTAATGTGCCCAACGTTTCTCTTAGCCCTGGTGTCCTGCAGCTGAAAGACACCTTTCCTTTTTGAACACGATGAGTTTTCCAAGGTACAGCGAAGCCCGGCTCAGAGGCAGGTACCTGGTGCAAGGGCATCACTGGCTGCTTGATTCCTCTACTGCCTTGCAGGGACCAGTTGGTTCTCAGACCATTGGCACTGGGGAAGGGGAAGTGCAGCGATGACAGCGACAGTTCAAGGAAAGGCTTTTAGGGAGGACTCTGCTGCTTGTGAAAACATAAGGTGCCCAAATGGGGCTATTAAATCATCAGGTTGCAGCACCAACAATAAAATGTGTACACGTGTTAAAATTTCAGTGCAAGGCTAAAAAATTTTTCTGTTAGTTGAAAGCTATTGTCTGTGGTTGCAGGGAACCAAGACAAGAAGGCAAAAAGAAAGCAGACAGGAGGTTCCTTGCTGCCTCGGGAGGAGAGAAAGCAACAGCATTGAAATCCTATTATCTTTTATCCAATTATCAGGGCCCTGAGACATAGGGGACGAGTGTTCTAAGGGACCACCTTCCACTCAGGACCCTGGCAGCACCATGCAACGTCAATTCAGAAAAGATACTGGGAGTGCTCAAATGTGTTGATGCTTGTGTTGATCCTCATCCTCTGATGAGGATTCAGGTCCTGGCATGAGCCGAGTCTCCTGTGGGGTGAAATTGCTCAGCTGATAGGGACTCTAGGGGAAAGCATGGCACACATGACTGCAATAGTTGCCTGGAAAGCCGTCTGGTCTCAAAGACAGTATAAACTAAGTGCTGTCGGAAGACAAGCGAAACAAAGCTGGCATTAAGCAACTGGGTGAACCATAGTATAGAAAAGGAATTTAGGAAGCAGTGCTCATAATCCTATTAGGCTTTGGGCTGGATTAGGATAAATGGCTCCTATCTTTGGTTATGTAACGTAGCAGTGAAGTCCACTGCTTCCACAGCCACTCTAATGGGTTTCAAGTCACAAGAGTGTTTCATCTGTGCAGTTTATTTTCTACTCCAGATTTTCATTCAGGCTGAAGGTAGTCTCTAGGTAAGAGTGAGAACTGGTGGGCAGGAAGGGGAAGGATGGGTTCCCTCACAGTTCCAGAGACTTCTTGGAAATCTTTGCATGAGGACAAGTCACCTCTCTGCTGATCTGTTGTCCTATATCCTTCACCTTAGGGCCAGGGTGTTTCCTGAGTTCTGGAAAGTGATATCACAGTGTACCCTGAAACTATACAGACCTGTTCCTAGTTGAGTCTCAGGATAAGGCATCCTCAGAGTGGTCTGAAGTGTTGGCAACTGCCACTAGTTAGATGGAGCAGGCAGTGCTTCTGGACCCCGGCACTACAGCTGGGATGCAACGAGCAGAAGTGGATGCAAACTCAGCTCCAGAGGTGCATGACACACACACAGGAGGTGGGTGGATGGCTATGGGCTGGGTGGGCCTCGTTTTATATAGTTTATTCTCTCAGGATCACCCTCCAACAGGTTGGAGATCAACTGTGGTGCACTGCTGGAAACGTAGGCAGTGTCCACTGGTAGAGTGGGAGATGGTAATGTGGCAGATGCCTCCTTGCTTCATGTCAGTTTGCACCTGGCTCTGAGTATCATTTTCTATCTCAGGTTTCTAAACTCAGCCATGTGTCCTTGCCAAATACCAAAATGACCTTTATTTCTCTTCTGCTCCCATGACCCCCAGACCTTTGAGATTTGGTGGTTTTGCAGTGAGCAAGACAGTGAGTGGAGGTAAATTTGATGATACTGGTAGAAATAAAAACTCCAGCCCAGCAGAAATAACTCAAAGTACCCCAGAGTTTATGGCAGTTTAGTTGCTTTTCTGTAAGAGGCCTTAGAAGAGCAGGAAATACTATGTAAGGTCTCAGAACCTGTACTGTGTTTGAAGAAACCTGCTCTGCCTAAGTCTGGAAATAGTTTTCATGGGTCTCAGCTGAAATTTAAATGACTTCTGCACAGAACAGACTGCTGTCTTCCATGTGCCTGGGCGGGAACTTAAATCTAAGTACAGCGTTTGGCCTTGTTTTACAAAGTAGATCACTTGAAGAAAATGTTTTAAAGGACATACTTCTTACCAACTGATATACAGAAAAGTGACAAATCCTAATAGGATCAATCCATTCTTCTTTGCTGGGTAACGGTGTGGCATGGCAAGGATTTCCAGGACAGCAAATGGCAGTACAGCTGTGTGCTGAGGAGAAAAGAGAATCCATCACTGACCGGTCACAGTGCTTCACCTTCAGTCATTGCCGATCACGAATCTCAAGAGCCTGCCCATAAGCAAAGCATTATTTAACAATACTGAACGTAATTGTGTACAAATGCGCACACTTTCTATTTTAATAGTAAAGAAGTACCCCTGCAGTAACAAGCACGGAAATTTTCTTGTTAGTATGCTGTAAAAAGTACTGTAATGAGGTCTGCCTGTAGAATGATCCATGCTACTTTGTAATAGGTGAGCTTTCCTTTTACATTTTATAATGCAATAAATTTTTTGGCAATTCCCGTTAGAGTACAAAAGATATTGAAATCTATTGTTATGCACGCTTGAAGATGTCAAAAGTCTCTTCCTTGAACTCATTAAGTAATTGCTGAATTGCCTTCATATTCTTTTCAAGTTAGATTGTTATTTATTATTTACTCCAGTGTGATTGCAGTGTGTTGTGCTTCTCTTTGTAAACTGGAAGATGTGGTGGTAAACATACAGAGGACTTAAGTTAGCTGTGATTCAAGATGAAGAAGGAAATTCAAACAAGCTTAACCAAGAGTTAGCTTGCTGGAGAAGTTAGCTTGCTTTCTTTTTTTTTTTTGTCAAAGAGTTTGAATTGTATCCAGCAGCCTCAGTTTCAATGGCTTTTATGATGATAACTGTCTGAGCACAGGGGATTTTCAGCAGGCAGCTTGGTGGCACAGATTGTTTTGTGGTGGGGAGATGCCTCCAAGATGGATGCTCCTCACTGTGAGGAGGGAGGTTGGGAACACAGCAGAAGTCCTTCTGGGCTTGAATGTTAAAACGACAGTGTGGGGCTCTCAGGATGCTAATGCCTCAACTTTTTGGCTGATTTGTGGCAACTTCAGAAAATAATTTGTTGGGATGAAATTTCCCCACTAAAATTATTGTAATATTCCCTGTGCAAGCAAATAATAGTTTTAAGTTGCAATACGTAGGACAGAAGGCTTAAACAGTGCTGAGGAGTAACACCACAAAAACAATCGATGAGGTGCAACAGGAGAAAACTATAGCAACAACTGTAGCTGACTAGTAGGTTAAATTCCTATTAATATTAAGAAATAGTTTCACAGGTAGATGGGGGGAGGAAGGGAGGGGAGGGCAGCAGAGAAAGACAAATAGACTTTTAAACAGAAAAAAACACCAAACTATTTTTTGTTTTTCTCTAAAGGCACAACCTACTGGGTGTATGGTATAAAATTTCCTCTTGTCCCAGGGAAGTGGTTCTAGTATCTTCAATGTATGTATTTGTCAGAAGCTGTGCTGATCATCTGATATGGTAGTATGGTGTGAAAGTTTTATTGTGTATTTATAGAATAAGTTGTCACAAATACAGATTAAATTCTTTAAATGCACATTGAGCTACACACAGCATGTGTTAAAACATTCTTCACTTATTTCTTTAAGAGGCAGACATCCATTTTTGTCTGCCCCTGCCAAGTGACAGCTCACTGGAAGCTGCATGTCCTCCCTCAGGCCCCCCAGCACCCCCAGGAGCTGCTATTCATACCTGGCTGTCCTACTACCAAAATAACCTTTCCATCTCAGTTATTATTTTTCAGAGAAAAGAGATAGAAAATATTTATTTGATGTTCCAGTTCCTTGCACTCATTGGCACTGAGATTTTCCTCTGTTCTGTTTCACAAAGATATTCTTCAGCTCTACAACCTGCTTGGTTGATAGCAGAGGTCTTGTTGTACCAGTAAAAGTGATTCCTGGATTCATTTAACCAGAAAAATGTCTTCAGTGCACACAGTTTCCATATGTAATCCCTATAATTGTCTTTTAGTCAGAAACCTATGTGTTAAGGTGCTTTTAAAATTACTTTTTAAAAGTTTATTTTCCATAGGTGGTCAATAGTTTGTCCAAAATGCCCATGAAAGACAGCAATGATAGAAAACTTGCACTTTGACTTCACTTTCAGGCTTTAGCCTTTTACAGTGAATTTGTCCATTATGCGAAGTGGATGTAAGTCCTGGTTTTCATCTGACATCCAGTGGGTTATAAAATTCCTTTGGGCTACATGAAATGTCCTTTCTAGTCTTTTCATTAATTTAAACACTTTTAACAACTATAAACTGGTTGTTCCAGTTGTATTATTGCTGTCCTAAGAGGGATTTAGTAGGAGTGACCTGGTGAAATAATCCTTTGTTGAAGTGAAGTTTTTAGTGGGGGTTATTTTATATACTTATTTCCTTAGTTTTGGCTTTTTGTTCTCAGAGCGAACGTTAAATAAGTACATCAGCAATATAATGCTGCTTTAATAAAAAAAGCATTCTGGTATGGTATTAATAGGAATATTGTTTGCAAGAAAGACCTGGTAAGTATGCTGCTCCACTTGAACTGATGAGGTTTTGGCTGGCACTCTCTCTCTCTCTGTATTAGGGCACCCCATTTTGACAGGTGCAGATAATTTGGAACATGTTAAGAAAAGGACAGCATGAACAGCAAGAAAGTATGAGCAGGAAAGCAGTCCAAAGACAGGCATAGAAATCAGGACTGAACACATTGTTGCGTGTAAAGAGAAAAGGGAGAGAGGTCTCAAAGGCTTGAGAGGTTGATACAGTGATGACTGTGATGGCTGAGTTCAGTTCTCCATGTCCATTGCAGGTAGGACCAAGGGCAATTGGCTCAGTTTTCCTCAAGAGAGAGGCAGCTTTATACAGAGAAGTAAGTAGCAAGGGCAGGCAAGGAAACAACCACCTAGGGAAGCTGGGCAAGCCCTTTACAGGAGAAGCTAGACAAGGTGAGTGTGATTCTGCCAGGCACCCTCTGGGCATCTCTGACCCAGCCTCAGTTTTCCCTGAACCAGCTACCAAGGGCCGTGCGGACTCCAGAGCTGGTGCAAGTACCCATACCCAGAAGCAGAGGATGAAAGCATGGAGAAATGGGGGCTCTCCTCTTCTGGTGGGAGCAAGCTATTGTGACTAAGACCACCAATGTCTCCACTCAATTAGGCAACCTCTTTCTCTTCATACATCTTTGGGCTGCCTCACAGTACATGAATCCCACAGGAAAGGGGGAAGAGGAGAGAAGAGCAGAGCTTTGCACCTCATTTACAATTTCTCATTTTTCTCACTGGAGTGAGAGGCACCACACTGGGTGATGGCCAGAGGCACCCTGCAACAGCATACCAGCAACAGGCAGATAGCATCATACAGGCAAAGGGAGCAACAGGCCGGGGGTGACAAGGGGGAGCCCACTGCTTCAACACATCCATTGGCACTGCAGATAAGTGGCAAACTGGTAGTGGTTGTGAAAGACAGTTGGGAGCTCTTCTTTTTATTCTATGTTTTTACTTAACTAGTCATTTTTTGGCAGGCTCCTCCACTTAGGGAAAAGTTAGAGAAAATGCTCAGGGGCTCGTAAATCAAAAGAAGCTTGAAAGTCACTGCAAAGTGGGAAAATTTGGTTTCTTTTGGAAATAGCCAAGAGTTTAGTGGAAGGGGTAGGTTCAAATTGCTGCTCTGCCTGATTCGCAGAGGCTTGAGGTCGACCTTCCCACTCCCTGGAAGAGTGCTTCCACCTCCAAGAGCAGCAAATGCACTCAGGAGTGAGGCTATCTTCCTCTTGTTTTGTGAATGGTTTCTAAAGGTCTTGATCTATCCTGATATGGAAAAAGGAAAAAAAAAAAAAAAAAAAAAGTTGTTGTGGCATAGGAAAGTTGCTTTCTTCCCAAGTCCAATGATGACACTGGCACATGATTTATGAAAGTGTGTGCTGTGTCTTCTGTACAGATAATTGCATCTTTTAAAAATATTTTTCCATATATTAATCCAATTTCATTTATTAATATACTATTAGCTTATTCCTAGTTAGAGAGACTCACTGTATATATTAACTAGACATGCTTTCTATAGGGCCATTTAAACTTGCCATGCAAATGCCTTCTTGAGACAGATTTCTACAACAGTTCTCAGGTACTTCATGCGCCTCCGGGATTAAAATTTTTTTATTTAATGTTTTTCCTTTGTTGATATAAAGCTGCTTTTTTTTTCCCCCTGCCCAATGAACACGTGGGAAAATCTTCCCTTGAACTTCTGCTACCCGAGTCTACTGGTGACTTCACATATTTCTGCTGAGTCCAGTTTGTCCATTAACGGTAAAATCACGGTGGAATTTCTACCGAATAACCTAGCATGTTTATGAGAGCAGATGCATATTTATACAGCAGACACCAGAGGAACGCATGGTTAGCTACGGGGTGCAAAGCTGCCCTTTGCTTATACACGCAGTTGGCTTTCCAAATGATTTCCCTCTCACAGCCACTAGACGTTGACTTTGGCAGAATCGTTAGTGATAGACCATATATCATGGTTAATCATATCTGCTGAAAGGCTTTAAAGACTTCTCGTATCCTTTTCAATAAAAAAGATGTATTTTCTCATTTGAGTTATTTTTACCATGGGTCTCTAGTGCATGGTCATTAAACATACTTTCAACCCTATTTAGCTATGCTTTATATCCTTAAACTGACGTATAGCTGGAATGCATGATTTGTTTGGGGCCAAATTAAAATACATGGTTTTGCCTCTTGCTTTAAAGAAAACTTAATAATTAAGCTTAGATTGACACAGATCAAAACATTGGCAAAAACTGCTGGAAACATTGACTCATTTTTTATTTCAATTAACACTTTCTCAGTTTCACATATAAACAGTGAAACTGTCAAAAATAATTATCACAGAGGGAGAAAAAACCTATTTCACTCCAAGGTAAGGAAAACAAGCTAAAACAATAGCTATGTGCACTGATCAGGCTATCAGTGAATGGAACTGAATTGGAGAGCTTTTTTTCTTCTCTTGGCTGGAATCCTGTTAGTAATTATTAATTATACTTATTAATCATATTAATATATTTACTTGTCCAATAACCTTGGCTTGTTGAGGAAAGCTTTCAGCTTACAAATTTTGTAAGGACAGAAGTATTTCAAATGCTTTTTTAGAAAAATTTATTTTTGTAGTGGAAAGATGAAAGTTATGGGACTTCTAAAATTATCAGAGACATTTTGTTAACTAATCACACTTATATTCTGAATTCTGATTCCAAACATTTGATTTCAAAATCCTCTGTGGCTCTTTTTGGCACTTACTATGATTTTTAACTTGGGTTTGGTTTATTTGCTTTTTTCCTGACAAACTCAGGTGAATCTGAACTAGTTGTAAAATTGCAAAATTCTTTTTATTCTCAAAAACTTTGGCATATGAATACAGGGGGAAGAAAGTTTCTTAAATGCACACTGAACTTCTGAAATATTGGCATGTTAACTCATCTCCTGTGGAGAGAATGAAATTATAACATTCTCCTGCTTCTTTATTTTTTGTTTCTACCCTATGTTATATGTTTCCCAGGATACATTTCAGGTTCATGAGTTTAAATAGACCTCTCTGGTATTATTTCCACTGTTTGGTGAGACCGAATGGAATTTTTACTTCCCATATTTTTAGCAGTTTGTGTATTTATTCAGTGTTATATCCTTGTTTTGCTGTTGAGAATGTAAGTAAATGCAAGTTTCCTGGGACTGAGAAGACAGGGTTGGGTAGAGTTTGTGTTCAGCTGCAGGCTCCAGCCTAGGCTGAGTTTTAAGCCCATGAATAATCTCCCCAGAGCTGCTGAGATCACTTGTATGCCTAATGCGTGCATTGCAGTTTGACTCAGTTTGACCCTGTTTGACTCCAGAGTGAAGGAAATGATGCCTTGGTTGACCATAGCTGTTTGTTTCTCATTCGTCTGCATTTACATACCCTCCATGTCTGCTTTCCATTAACGTGCGAGACTTTAGTGGGGGATTTTTCGCAAACAGTTACCACTGGCCAAACTAAACTCCACTGGGCACAGTTGGACACCATCGAGTGCTTTTGAAAAACTGCCCGTGTTCCTCCTTTCGGACAAATTCCCCACAGAGTTTGTGTGCTGACAACCACTTATGGCTGATACTCATGCTTGTATCTTCTCCATCGGTATGTTACTGCAAAGAAAAAGTAAAAACACACTTTGGTGCTGTCTTATGAAGCTCACGAAGCCAGTTTTCATTGGTTGACCCTTGAGGTGTTTACTCAGTTATTCAGCTCTTTGTTGGGAAATGTCCTCTTGTCTATGGAAATTTCCTTGGGTTGGTTGCTTTCATAAACAATTACAGCTTGTGTTATCTGAGCGTAATAAAACTAAATGGCTTCCTGTCACCATAAAACCTCTATTTAGTTTTATACTCCTCATAATTTTCTGAATCTGTGTATGCTCCCTCATTTCTTGGCTTCATTTTGGAACAAATTCCCTCTTTTGATTTATTTTGCTATGATACTGCCTTCGTTCAAATACCTCCTTTAAAATTTTCTTTTGTAATCTGTCCTTACACATTTTTCTTCCTCCCTTAACCTCTCTTTATTTTTCAGAGTGGGAGGGGCTTAAGCAATATTGTTCATTTTATTTCTTTAACTAGTACATCACCATATTTAGTTAAAGAAGTAATTCTCTCTTAGAGTTGCTACCTGTCTTTTATATTCTCAGTCATCAGTGCATTTTCAGGGAACCATAGATCTGTTTTATGGGTAGAGCGGGAGGCACAAGGAATCCTGTTACCGAGCAGGTGCGGTGACAAATTAGTCAGGAAGCTACTGCTCAGTTTAACTCCGACAGCACTCCTCTCTCAACTGTCAGCTACTATCTGTTTCTGCCCTTTCCAGGTCCATTCACGCTCATCTGAAAAACAACATTATTTTTTTTTCTGCTTTTTCTGAGATGTGTAGGTAGTTTGGGAGCATTATTGTGAAAAACGGATGAAATGTCAGGCCAATTGTATGATCAAAGGTAAAAGAGCTTCAGAGAGAACATTTTCTGCATGTACACATGCATTTCTGGAAATAAGGCCCTGGCTGAATATCCTATTGCTTACTAGCAAATGTTTTGTCTCCATGTCAATGCCAGAATTTTAATTGCATTTCTCCCTGACATTAGATATGTAGTCTAAGAAACTGATGTTGCACTGCAGCTGGAAGCTGACATGAGACTGAAGTGACACATCCTTTGCTGTGGAATATTTGTCTCCAGCTGTTCCTTCGTGGGGTGGGTTAGGGAGACTGCACCTGTGCATGCTGGGGTAGCAGCAGCCACGGAGGATTCGCTGCCATAACATTTGTCTGTGAAACACATACTTTCTCCCTGAGGAAATGGGCTTATGTCAACAAAAATGGAAACTTCAAAAAAATATGTATGTAGTGTTGGGAAAAGCTAAGCATCTTTGCTCTTAAATGTGTGGGGTGATTAATTTCATGTTCCATATCCCTCACACACACACATTCTTCTTCTTTGCCAAAAGTTGAATGTAATTGGAAGCCTATGAATGTCCACAGTTGCCAGACAGCTTAAAATTGAGATACTGTGAAATGCAAACAAATGGAAATGTTTCTCTCTTGTGTAAATATGCAAGAATTATTAATCATTAAATACCAGTTGCAAGGAGAATCCTTTAAGATGGTTAAAGATGAACTTGAGGTGGTTCTTGTGTACACACCCAGAGCAGGAGTCCAGTCAGAGTGGCCTGGACAAGCGGGTTCTGCTCCACACACAAATTTTGCACTCCCTTGACTGGTTAGTGTTGCAGCAGCTTCCTAAAATAGCTGTAGGCAGACACAATCCTTCACATAAATGCCCTCACATAAGAGTAAGAATAACTTGTGCTGTGCTCATACAACTTTTTTTTTTTTTTTTTCCCAGATGAAAGTAAATCATACTGATCAAAAATAACATTTTTGTTGATGTAGTTGTGTCCACACTGAGGAGGGTAATGGTTTAGCTAGGTGGGCAGAACACAAGCAACTTGTAGATACCAAGAAGTTCTAAGATGAGAGGTGACATGGCAAGTCTTGCTGGTATTCTTGCTGTCAGGGCATTGATGGCTTGATTCGGTGAAGGAGAATTACTTGTATGCACCCAGGTTGTTCTTTCACTTCCTTACATTTTCTTTTTACATTCAGATACTACTTGGCTACATCAGAGCAAAGTGCAGAGGAGCTTGAGCAGCTCAGGCCATGTGGGGGTCTGTTGTCATCTTTGCTGAAAGTCTGCCAGGTAAGTAATTTTTCTTCTGTGCCTCCATTTACCATCCCTCCTTTTTTATTCTTAGTTATTTAGGTTACAAGGCCTTCAGAACATGCACAGGTCATAACTATGTGTCAGTGAAGTGCCCAGGACGCTAAAATGCTGATTTTTGTCAAGGTGAGAGGTTAACACAGCTACAGAATAAATTACGGAAAGAGATGGCTAAACTAAGCTGCAACCTAAAAATAAAGAAATCGTGCTTTTTACAAAATATGTGGTTTGCAAGAACTGTGCCTTACAGACTGAAGATATAAACCTCCTTTGTAAAAAGGCAATTGTACCATTACCATTTTTGTGAACGCATCTGGTCAATGTTCATGTGTATCTTTTCTTTTGTTATAGATAAAAATGCTTCTGAGTGGTCTCTTCTGACCCACCATTGTCCCACTTTGTTTAGCCTTCAATTCTGTCAGCCCCTTCAAAATGTAGTGTTCCCTTCTACTGCCGTTAAGTTGAATAATACATGCATATGATTTAATCCAAGCTGTCTCCAGCAGTTAGTCGCCTTCTGGAGAGTATCCAGGTGTTGCTTGAAAAGAGATGACGGGGATAGAAATAAACAGTTTCACTTGACGAATTGGCCAGTGTATCTTTTGTCTCAGCCATCTTCCACTTAAAAAAAAATCTGTTCAAATAAAATAATTGTCCTTGAGATGTAAGTAAGTTTGGGGTTTTTTTTCATCCATGAAGCTCAAAGCCTTGTGTAAAGATAGCAAAACATAATTATAGCAATCAAACAGAAGTGGAAACTGAGGCACAGCCCTTGGGTTAAACTCAGCAATGAGAGAAACCCAGGTAGTCTGGAGTATTTGGCTTCCTTCAAATATTAGACAGACTTCTTTCTGCATTAGCCATCCTTTCTGCAAAACAGCAAATGTTTCTGCTCAGAGTACAAAAACATGCCTAAAATGTAGTGCTCTCTCTATGACTCTGGGCTACCAGGTGGGCAACGACACTTTCCCACTGTAAGAGCAGTAAATGTGAGAAAAATAAATGGCTAATTCATTTTTGCAGGGAAGGTGCTGCAGCATCACCACGAACTCAGGGAGCTTGGTATTCCTGAAGTGTTTTTGCATGATTATTTTTTAGGTTCACTCTTCACTTACATAACAACATATGCTTTCCCTATTTACACCATTAAAATAGACAGAGATAAAAAAAATTACTCCCACTGCAAATGATATGGCACTGACGTCTACTACTGATACACTGATGTCTTTTTCCACCAAAGCCAGCTAGATGCTGCCTCAATCTGCCATGAAATGTCTGTAATCTCAGAGCCATGAAGTATAGCAATGTGCAAGGAAAAGAACCCAAAGAAAAAGTGTCTTCTTGGCAATCAGAACTTGGAGATTGTCCCTTAAAGTGTCAGTAGCTGCCCGGATCTTCCTAGCAGGTTGGAAGGAAGGGAAATATCCAACCCACTGGATATTTTGTGTTGGAAGAAAGAAATGCCTCAGCTAAGCCTGAAGGCACCTGTTGGAAGGTGTCCCAAAATGTAGGGATTGTCAATGTCTACACTGGTGGCAGATGTTTTACGCTCAACGGTGACTGCAAGGAAGATTTCCCACCCAGGAACTGTCAAGCACAAGATGTCTGCAGTGTATTAAGAGCTTAGAAATAAAATACTAGGTTGTGATAGAGGTTTGCTTTATGTGAAGTTTCTCTCTCGTCAAAATAATTTTGAGGAAGAATTGTTTTCCTTTTTTAACACCTGTTTTTGACATTTCTGAAATGGAAAAGCTTTTTGTTGTTGTCAGACTGACTCTGTTATGAAATGTAGATGTAGGTAGGGTAAGAAAGAAGTTATAACGAATATGTTTGAGGGATTCCTGCAAAGAGTTCTTGCACATGAAAATGTACATTCTAGCACCTCTCAACCTTCCCGTGTCATAAACAAACATGCAAATGGAAAGGCCAAATTCTCAGCTGTGCACTGGGATTAAATCCAGCAGCAAAGCCCATCTCCTCTCAGCTCCACCCTGTGCCCTCCTCTTCCCCAGCACCTACCCTACCGTGAAGATTTTAACCACCAACCAGTTGCCCATACCAAAGCCCAGACCTGAAACTGGCATAATGCTGGGAACTCAAGGAATCTTTCTTTTAGTTGGACGACGGTTTTGAGAGAGAGCAGTGCCCATTTGTTTCTGTGTGGAGGTATGGACAGCCCTGGTGAAGATGAATTGGTGGGCAGAGAGCAGGTGATAAGGTTAAAAGTGCACAATGGCTGCAGTTTATCACTCGGATATCAGTAATGCGGACATGCATGTGTGTGTTTGGATTGCAGGGACACGTATCTGAATACGCCTGTCTAAATCAAGTGGCTGCTCAAAACCTTTAGCAAGTGTCCTCAGCCAGAAACCCCGAATCCTCTATATTTACCTTCAACATGCATCGGAAACTGCTGCAGCGGGTTGCAAAGCGTTGTACTTAAGAAATTAAATTTGGAGAGAAATGAGTCTTCTGTGCGATTATTTCATACTTTTTGGCTTCTCTGATTCAGACTAGCACTGAACCTCTCCCTTCTCTCCCCCTTTCCATTAGCCCCACGAGGCCTCCCTGACCTTACAATCCACCCACGGTTTCCATGTTACTGTCAGGCTCCTTACACTTGACTGATGAGAAATATGTGATTATTCAACACATCATAAAAACAGCCAGAGCAAATGAAGGAGAAATCTGGAAAGTATTTATAGAAAAATCTGTAAACAATCATTGCAATTCAGCTATTCAAAGCTGCGCACACATTAGCTTATTAGCTGTAGAGCTGTCAGATGTTCTTTGGTTCTTTCACCTTTTTTAAAAATTAAGAACTGCTTTGTTATACTCCCAGCCATTTTGTATTTCATAGACTTCTGTTTGCAGAAACCGCTTTTTGAGCTACAATAACTGAGACTTTTTTTTCCTTATGACTACACATCATTTCATTGACTTGAAGTTCAACAAGCACCAATTCACTGACATTCCTTGTTTGCTAAAAGGCTTCTTGAGGTGACTTCAAGCACATGCATCTGTTTGCTGTGTACAGCTCAACATCAGATTCAGATAAGTAGGAAGGAGGAGGTGAGAAAGAAGAAGCTGTGAAGCTCTTCTGGAAAGCGACACAATACAATGATGGGACAGACGCAAAGTCTGTCTTCTCTGCAAGAGGCAGGGGTGTTTCTTACTCACCATAGCGTGATTTAACCAGAGCGGGATGATTCCATCAAGGCTTTTGGGGTAAACCAGCTCTCGATTGTAGGTATACAGTGTCCAAAAGGATATAGACACAAACTGGAACCAAAATATAAATTAAATAAATTTCAGAATGAAAGACAAACATAATCGATAGGATTTGGCTAGTGCTTTCATTTCGGAGAAGGCAAAACATCTCCTACATGAAAAACGGTGATATTGCCAGATAAACTCACATATCTCACGTTACAACATAAAGAAAGGAATTTACTCTGAGGTGCAGTGTTCTGTGTTGATACTGCAAGAAAAACCTCCTTTATAAACTGCCAACGCTGTCATTTTCTGTGGAATACCAGATTAGCTTTAAACTTTTTTTTTTTTTTTTTTTCCTTTGCAGATGGGATCTTTTGATAGTCCACAAGTTCTCCTCAAGGGATTGGCTGTCGAGCCACAGAATTTGTTCTGCTCAGTAACAAAGTAAAAACAGACCTTGGTAAGACAGTTCACATAAAATTTACCCTTATCTTCACAATTCATAAACCTAATTCCTGAACTGCAGGTGCAAGCTGCACTGTGGGCACCCATTTCTTTCCCAACAGAGGAGGATTTACAGTGGGAGAACTTAACTGGAGGAAAGGAACGCTGGTATCGGTTACTGATAACCTGGAAGCTGATTTGCATTTTTTTTTTTTTTGCATGGCTTTGTATCTGAACACGCTTTGTGTTCCTGGGGCTGGACATCAGGCTGTGAGATGCTGGCAGAATGACATTACCCTGTGCCTCCATCCTGCGGGCACAGTGAGGCTGCTTGGGAGTTATGCCAGCAGGATCGTGAATTCTGCTGTGCCAGGGAGATGAATTAGCCAGTCTCTGTCTCCATCCCTGGCAGGACTTTTTTAGTGAGACAGCTGGGTGAGCTGCTTGTGGACCAGATTTAAGCAGTGCTGCTCAGTCCTTTGAGATTCAGAGATAGCTGAGGGCTTCACTCAGGAAGAGTGGTACCTACGTGTATAAGTAACCCATCGGTTCCCATCCAGCCCACAGCACCAGATAAACAGTATTTTGATAAACAGCATCGTCTGTGAGGGAGTAGGTGATCTGTGGTGAATCTGATGTCAGCTATGACTATAATTATTGTCCTGTGAATCTGTTTCTCTCCAGTGCTTATTCAAGGCCATGCTGAAGTCAGAGAAGGAGATGTAAGATTTTACTGCCTCTTAGTTACCCTCTCATGTCCTCCTGGCCCATGCTGCCCTTTGGAGAAATGCCTTAAATCAATAAATCCACACCTATTTGGACCATGAGATTAACAGAGAGATTACACCTCATTCACCCTCTGGGATCAATCTGTTCACTCAGGGACAGCAACCCTAAAGTTTGTGCAAGAGGCTTTACTTTCAACCATGACAAGGTCAGCACTGTTTCTTCTGAATGGTCCAAATCAATATTTAAATGGTGAAAAAAAACCCTATAGTTCTTATCTATTTTATACATGTGCATGTTATGCTATACACCCATAATCATTGATGCAAACATTATTTTTACGTACAGAGGTTACTTACTGTGGACACGGGGAAAGCCAGGACACTGAAAAGAAGGTCTCTGCTGGAAATTATGCATTTAGCACATCGCAGTTTCTTAATTAGTCTCAACACATCAGCCAGGAAGGACACCCCATAGAAGATAGCCTGCAAAACCTAAAGTAATTACACCTAATGAGGGAAACTCATCCAGCTTTAATTAGCACATTCCTCAGTGAACTCTGTTCTTGCTCTTCAGGGAGCTGTTTTGTTCATGAGCTGCAAGCCTATGTTAAGGGAAATAGCTGTTGGCTAAATCTTTTTTACTAACTGAAACTGATTAAATAAAGTTGTTCGGGAGATAACTTTAACAGTACCTCGTTTAATAGACTAAACAGAGATGTGTGATGTGATTCAGATGGGAGAGGTGGAAGGACATGTTGAAAGCCGGCTCCTTCACTCTTCCTATGTTAATTGTTACCTTCATGTATCTGAGCAGGAGTAGGGGAGAACAAAATACGCCAGGAAATGTTTCCTGTAAAGCAACTGCTAGATAGCTTCTCTCACCGCATAGCCAAGACAGGGCCTCCTTTCCAGGGACTCACAGTGCAGTCAATCTGTCTCAAGTAGCTCAAAATGCTATAACATGAGAACTGGGTGCAGAAGTTATCAAAACCAGAGCCTCTTTTGTAGAACTCAGAGGGATTCAGGAAAGGATTTGAAGTGCTTAGAAGCAGAGAACCGGACTTCGCTAACTAAAACTAAGTTAAACTATTTATAACTAATGAATTTTGGAGTTGGGCGTGGGGGGATGGGTTGTGTTTTGGGTTCTTTTTTCTTTCTTTAAATAATTTACAAGTAATGATGGTGGGGTTGTTTGGAGAGGGTGCTAGGAGGAATTGTGTGTGAGATTGTCACAATACTATGGTTTAAGCCACTATTGTTTTTCTGATTACTTCGTTTTCTCTCCTAATGCTACACAGCGGATCAAGCTGAATCAGATTTGTCAGATGCACAAAGTCAAGCAGAAAAATACTTCTTCCACTACCTTGCATTCAGCACTGAGTCCAGTTCTGTTAAGGAAACTGAAGGCCTCTTCTTTTTAAGGCTCAGTTGTCCCAGAGTGATGCAATGTGGGAAATGCAGCTTACTGCAAACACTGGGCCAGCAAGCAATGCTGAAATGGAAAGAGGCTGTGTCACAGCTTTCAGGATGAGATCTCTTTTGCCATGATCTTACTCTGAATCAGATATTTATTTACAGCAAAGTGTCTGAAGCTGTGGCTGGTTACTTCATCAGTTTCTGAAGGAGCCGAGAAGGGTGGCGCTTGGGAGGGGACAGAATTAGTGCAGTGCTTTTCCATCAGAAATTCTTTTATTATCAAAATATCTGTGGGAAGGAGGAGGCTATGATTTCACCATGTCCATTGTCAAACAAGGGTCTCTGCAAGATTTAGTTTGCAGAGACTGAGTCTTCCCAGGGAGCAAAATAACTATAGTTTGCATGACCAGAGAGTGTCCTTGCAGTTATCCGCAGCGATCCCAACGGATGCATTTTGTGGCTTCCCAGTAAAAGGAAAAGATACATCCTACCTTCCCTATCTTTTCCACAGTCCAGCTGGTTGCTGCGGCAGACTGTAAGCCAGGTGCCACTGGGGGAGCATCTCCCCTCCCTGCGCAGACCCACAGTGGTGAAGGTAGGGAGCTGCTGATGCAGGCTGGGTAGCTGGCCCAGGGGCACCCAGGATGAGGTATCAGAGATAGTGCACCACCCAGTACAGCTGCAAAGCCCCATGTTTCCTTTCAGAGTGAGGGGGGAACAGCCACATTTTTACATAAAAACCCCAAGCAGCTTCATCAGAAGTCACATATGGTTTTGTTCAATTCTGAGGCACCCAAACCAGCTCTTTTAAATGTGGTTTTCTCTCTCGCTCTCTCTCCCATTACCACAATTAGCCTCTGTAGCTGCAGGCACAATTTCAGTCAGTAGGGATTCAGCCCTTCAAGTCACAGGTCTCGTTCAGAAAGTCCATACTGGGGCACAGTGTACTTAAACCCAAGCACATACTCAACCCAAACGCCTGCCCCAGTCCTTGGCCTCACCAGGACACCAAAACCAAGTCCCTGAAGAGCTAAGAAAAGCCTAGTAATAAACAGAAGCTCTTGTTACACCCCGTAGAGTCAGCAGTAACTTTCTGTAAAAAGCATGAAAAATGAACATGAGGGTGGTGACAGTCTGGTGACACATGGTGACTAATTGCCAATAAAGCAGTTAGGGAGAGGCCTGGTTCCCAGAGGATGGGGATATTATTATCTTGTTCATGGTCAGCCTTACATTAATCATGGGACAGGGATAGGCTGCTTCTTACCCCCTTCAAAATTAACTAAAACAAACATTTCTGAAAAGAAACAGTCCCAAAACAACCACATTCTCAGCCTGGTAAATATTCTGTCATATGCAGGGGAGGACAATGTTATCTTCCGTATGGAAAATGCTTATCCGAATGTGTAACCTGACCCATTTCTCTCGCTAAACATGGAGAGCAACTCCTGAAGCAGTTTGAACTCAGTCTCAGGAGCTTGTTTTCTGTGCTGCTCATAGCTCTACCCTTGTCCATCACTGTGGGTTCAAAGGTGTTTCAGTCAGTTTGTGATCACTCTATGTTTCCAGAAGCAATGGAAGAATATGCAAGTAATTTTCAAACCAGAAAATTGATTCTAGCTAGAACCATCCCTAGTAACTCTCAGTTTGGCAGGCTGCACCACCGGTAGACTTGAGTCAGAGCACCAAACCCATGCTCTTCCAGGCATATTCCTGTAAGAAAGGTGCATCCAAATCTCGCAGCCCTTCTCTAATTAGAAAATGTTGACATTAAAAAAAAAAAATTACATGAAAGTATCAAATCATTCCAGATGTCCTGTGAATTTCCCAAACAGCAGTGCTGGCACTCACAAATCCATTGCAGCCACTCATGGAATATAAATCCACTGGCTGTAAATAAAGAGGATCCCCTAAAGTATTCCCACACAAACAGAAGGAAGACTGGAAGCATTCAGAAAGCTAATGATTAACCCAAAGAGGAGAATATGGATATGATTATTCCTGTTTGAGAGATGCTGCTTTCTTCTCTAGACCCCTCAGAGCTCCATGGCACTAGGTGCTGTAGAAATGCTTAATTCAGCCAGATTGATTTTCCAAAATGAGAGTCATAGTGACAAAGACAAACCTTAATTTTTATATGCTACAGTGATCAAAAGGGTGTTTCTATTTAATTAACCTGACATGATTTACTTTTGCATATAGGATCTAGCCATGTGTATACTGAAATCTCCAACTGCTACAAATAAATCGGGTTCCAAGCTCTGCCCTTAAGGGGGGATAAATCCAATATTCTGAGTAGGCTATTAGACATAACAGTAAATATTTAGTGTAGACACACATCCATTCACATGATAGTGACCTGGCAAATATGTATACTAAATGCTGGGCCTATTTTGAAATAAATAAAAAACAGCTTTCAGGAAAATTGAAAAGTACTTAAATTATGAGATGCAAAAGAGTGTAAGGAATAAAATGAGGCAGGAATGCAATTAATAGTTTTTAAAGGTGCAGTGTGCTCCTTATGCAATGATTTACCAATAGATTTACAGCAGCGAGCAGATTTTTATGAGCTCAGATATTTCAGGCAATGAATGATTCAGCTTGTACTGTTTTGTGTCACAGACAAATGAATACAATACTGTTTTTATCTGCCATTTCTGCTTGTTCAGTAATCGGTCAATGAACTCCTTTGATACAAAACCCACTTATCTTTTTTTTTTCCCCTACAAAAATATTTCCTTTCTGAATCTTGATTGCTATGATCATTAACTAGATAAATGAATCTGAAGTAACGTCAGAGCTGTAGCTCTCTTGGGAGAGCAGCATGACTACTGAAGAATTGAATGAGTTGCTAAAAGGAGGGTCATATCTAGAAGAAATTCTTCCAGCATCCCTCCATCAGAGCTAGGAGTCAAGCTGCATTTCGACCCCTGGAAAATGTCACATTTCCCAGTACTTCTATTTGGGATCAGAGCAAACTGGCCACGGCAGCTTTCTGCAGAAGGAAATTTTTAAATGCAATTCCAGAGAGCTAAGAGGAATTTTGGGGGGAAAATTTCTAAGTGATTCATCCAGCCGGTGCCAGAAGCCAGGCAATTGAAGTCTGGTAGGAGACGGGCAGAAGAGATGGACAAGCACTCTGTGTGCCTGGCTCTGGGAAAACCTCCAAGACAGCCCAGCCCTGCCCAGCACGGCATCTCCACTGAACCAGCACAGCCAGCAGGAAGCTTTTCCTTGCTCTTCTTCCCCAGGACCGTACCTCCCGGCATCCCAAGGCATTTCCTGGGACTAATTCTAAAGGCACTGAAATGTAATGCATTGGGTGCGCACCTGATGGACATCTGTGGTTGACAGCCACCTCTTCTTCCTTGATGTCCCTCAGGAGTGAAGTGGTTTAATGCCAAACCAGGGAATGACTCTTCCAGGTGCTGTAGAGCCCCACAGGGATCTTCATGGCCCCCTGGGCTATATTGTCTTCTCACCCTCTTCCTCTTTTATACAGTAGCTTAGGAATCTTTTGCCACCTGGAGATACTAACACTGTCCAGATCAATGGGAGAAGGGGGGATGAGGACATTTCTCTCCCTGGGCCCCTCTCCCTTTTTGGCAATCCTTTCTTGAAAAAAAACACATCTCTGTAGAGGAAGGACTAGTGGCCATGAAGGAGTAATTTTGCACACCCTGCCTCATTGCCACATTTTCTGTGTCAGCCATAGGCAACATCTTCAGCCCAAACCATCTCCCTGCTGGCTGATAACTCCATTTTAGTGTCAGGATCAGATCAATAAGTGGTTAAAAGATGGGAGACAAAGGACTAGAGAAGTGAAGCAAGGGCCCCAGAAATTTAATGAGACCTGAGCTGTTCAGCAGATCCATAAATGAGCCGGGAAAGGGAGCAAACACTGAGGTGGTAAAGCTTTGTAAATTTTTTTTTCTTTTTTTTTTTTTTTTTTATTTCTGTCAAAGCGAAGCCTGACCACAAAATTGCCAAAGAATCTCAGGATACTGAGTGCCTGACACATCAAATAGCAGATGAAGATCAGTGTTGGTAAATGCAATGGTATGCATTTCAGAAAAAAAGCAACTTCAATTATATAGTTTTCAACAGTGGGTTCTAAATTAACTACCACCATCCAGGAAAGAAGTGTTGGACACACTGTGGACAGCTCTCAAATTCCTAGCTCCTTGCTTACCAGCAATCAAAAAAGAAAACTAGAGAGTTAAGAATTGTTAAGAAGAAATAAACAACAGACAAGGAAACACCTTCAGGCCACTGTATAAATCCATGCTGTGCTCATAGCTCGACCACTGCAGCCTGCCCTACTTACCCCTTTCTGAAACTAGAAAAACTACTGCAAAGTGCGACAAGGATGCTTTAATGAAAGAAGCAGCCCTTTGTGAAGAGAGATGAAAAAGGCTCGGGCTTCCAGCTTGCAGAAAAGAATAACTGAGGGGAAAATCTGGTAGAGGTCTCTAATGAGTTGCAAAGAAAAAGTGAACAGTGACGATTAAATTATAACACAGATGTAGAGACACATCCAATTCAGTTGTCAGGAAGAAGGTTTACACCAAGAAAATGAACTGCTTTTTCACTCAAGGCACACTTGCCTTGTAGCACTCATTGCCACAGGATGGGGAAGGTACCAGAAGTATAAACAGGTATGTTTTTCCTTTAGATAGTTGAAGAGAAGGCTTTGAATGGATATTAGCTACCTTGGCCTGGATTTATCTTCTGGCTGGGTAAGTGGGTATGCCAGTGTGAGGGTAGAACCATGGAAAGCTCATTTTATGCTTAGACGTGCTGTCTTGTGCAGCCTTTCCCTGATCATCCACTACTGGTCACTAAGGGAAGCCGGATGATAATTTCAGTGAGTATTTCTATATCTCAAAATACTGGGAGACTCGTTACTTGCTTTCTCCTCTTGAGCTCATGCTTTAGATGTGTCATATACTGGATGACAGACCTTTTTATAATGGTGCCAGGGGATGGGGGTGGAGATGCTGTTTTGCCTGAAAGTATGGCTAATACTTTACTGGGGCCAGTTCCGCCCCACCCCACCCCCCAAAAAAAAAAAAGAAAAAAAAAAAGCAAAGGAGCTTGGCACACAGTTCCTTGCCTGGGACTTGACTGGTGGTGTTTTAGTCTACTGACATATGTCCCAGCAGGACGAAGTGAATATCCTTAAGGTTGTTGAATCCTCACCATTTGATCACTGGCATTTCAGAAAAATTATTTTTTAAAATGTCACAAAAAGCGCAGATGATACAAAGACAACATAGCAACAAACCATACATGTGCCAACCTGACTGCAGTGATATATGTGCCCTCATACTTGCACAGCTGGATTGGCTACTAAGGGCATTGTGGCTCTCTGAAGACTGTTGTAGCCACCTCACCACCTCTTGTTGCAAATATTTCACAGTCACAGAATGGTTGATGTTGGAAAGGATCTGAATTTCCCAATGCCCTGGGGGTCTTCAAAGGCCCTACTCGGAGCTGGGGAGCCTTTAGGCTTCCATTGAACCACCATGAGGTGTCTCCTTCTGAAGAGTAAAAAATAGAGACAAACATATCCCAAGCCAGACCTCCCACTGATACTGAACTCTGGTGGTTGCACAGAATGAATTGAAAGGCCACGGAGGTCACTGCGGTCATCCTTCAGATTAGCAAGTGTCCCTGAAATTTGTGCCTTGTAGGAACCCTCTCCATATGCCCGGTCTTTCCACCCCACTGCCACCACTGCCACAAGTCACTGATGAACCACGTGGACCGTGAACAAGCCTTCTCCCCTAATGTATCTCACCTGCTTTCATTTTCATTTCCATCTTGTGAAATGTTAGTGTGTTAGGAGAACCAGAACACATTATGGTCTACGATTTTCTGTGTACTTTTAGGAAATGCAGCAAGCCATTGATAGCACCGTTAAAACACACGTAATAATGTCACAAGCACCACTCTCGGCAGTCTGGAATTTCTCTTGTGCTCTCAACTGATTGTCAGACTAAGCATGTATTCTGAATGGCTAAATTAGCACCACGCTATGCTTTGGTTTATCTTTTCTGTGATTTACAGGACATAAAGCCTATTAAAAAAAACTGAAGTAAAATGCTAAGCATCATTATAATGTGTACTGAATTAAGGGTGAGATAACATTCATCAAACTTGCACGTGTCCTGGCTGGACCTACCTTACCTTTCTGTCCCTCTCCTCACAGATAGCTTGTCTCTTTTACAAGGAAGCAGCTAGCTTCAAAGTACTTTCTGAAAGCCAAGCAGCAAACTAGCCAATATTCTTTCTTCGACACCTTTCACAGCACAAGCATGGATCCCTACTTAGTTTTCTTTGGGGTATAAACCCTTAAAGGAAGCAGTTTACAGCAGCAACTATACCAGCTGCATATGTCTTGAGGCACAGATGGCAGACAAACAAATAGACATATTGGTATCACTGTACAACACGATTTGCTTACCAGATTGAGGACTGTCAAATATTTCCACTGCCCACCGTAAAGGAACACTTCAGATGGCCTCTCTTCTGTTCTTACGTGTGTGATTGAATAGGCTATGAAAAAATACCAGACAAAAGCAAGGCAATGATATGTTGCGAGAGTAGAGATTTCCATGCTTTAATTAAACGCAAGTGAAAAACCATCCAAAAGCAGCTTTCCTCTTAAGGCCCTCGGTCGCTGTGCATGGGAAGTGGCAGGGCAGGAGGCTTTACTTTGGAGCAGACTCAGGACACATTGCCACTTTGCTCTGGTCAAAAGGAATATTCACAAGGCTGTGAACTTTGCTTCTGTTTGTTTCCCTTTTCACTGTACAGATAGGCTGGGGGTGGGCAAGAAGAATAAGCTTATTCCCTGGATTTAAATGCCTTGCTCGAGATTAGCGAAGATTAGTTGCAGATTTACATAAGGTTTTCGTTGTTTTTTCTTTTTGCAAAAGTGGGGGGAGCTTTGCTGCTGATTTTGTGTAATGGGCTGTTGTTCTTTGGGTAGCAAGTGAAAACAAGTAGGGTTTTCCCCTCTTGTAGCTATGGGCACAGCCATGTCTCCAGTTCAGCTTGGGAAGCCTCTGAGACTGTTTTCCTTGTGTCAAAAGAAGAAGTGAGAAGCATAATGGTCTGTGAAAGAAAAACCAAGTTGATTTGTCGATAGGCTATGGAGGTGGCAAGGAAGCTGAGAGAATTCGGAGGCAAACGTCCTTGGGATTGAAAATCCATGCGAGCGTTGACATTTTTTTTTTGCGGGAGAAGGCTCTGCTGCCTTTATGTTGCTCTGCACAGCTGGGATCCGTCACAACCATGTACAGCAGGTTGGACAAACTCTGAGCTGCTTTGAACCTCTGGCAGGGATGGAGACATGGGGCAAAGACCCCTAAGCACGGCATCTCGCCTACCTGCTTCTTTATTTGCTGCCATTCACCTTCAGACAGACCCTCTTCCCCTTCCCCGGCGCAACATTATCCCACCGTCAGGGCTGGGGTAAACAAGAGAAGAACCGGTACTCATGCAATGACCTTAAAATGAAGCGATCAAAAAAGTTCCCGTAGAAGTGCTCATTTTTCCCTCCCCTCCTGCCTCTCCAAGCAGCCCTAATTAGCACTGGAAAATACAGGTGGCGTTTCCTATTTGGGCCCGAGTCTCCGTAATTGCAGTGCTGTCAGCAGTAACTGCCACCTGAGTGTTTCACAGGGTCTTGGTGGGGAAAGGGTGCTGCGCCCCAGCCCGCACCCGCACCCTCCCTACACAGGACAAGGCGACGGGGTGCTCTTCTCACCCCCATGGGTGCCCCCATGGGCAGGGCTGCGCTTTGGCCAAGCAGACTGCATTACTGGATGGGAGTTTTTTGCCCTTCTAACTGGCCTACAGGCAGCGTTGAGCAATCTGCTGTGTTTTGGTTTTTCTCCTGCATTTTTTTTCCCCCTGGTACAGGACGTAAGGCTCCATGTGGGATGATTTCCTATGAACTCAGACAGAAACGTGCATGCACGTTGGGAAACAGCCCTTGCACTAAGGCGCTTCAACATCCTCCTGTGTTTCACTGACTTCTCCCCTAATTCAGATTACCCATATCCAGATTCCCCAGGTGTTCCAGCTATCACAATCCCTATGAAATATTTCAGCTTCATTTAGGAAAATAAAGATGTAGATCCTTTTGTTAAAAAAAAAAAAAAAAAAAAAAGGAAAAGAAACGGGAAACTTTTGGACTCTGACAATGTCACTGGTCTTTTCCTAGGAAACCCAGCAGAAAAGAGTTTTCAATTGTCTTTACAGACTTTCTGGAGAGGGGCAGTGCTGTCATGAGCTGCTGCTTCTGCTCCTCCTTGTTAAGACTCATCCCTAGGACAAAAGGCAGGAACAGAATAGGACTGAGGCATGGAAGGGCCCTTTTTATTAGTGATTTGCATATCAAAGGCACCAGGCAGTAAGCACTTAACAAGTTATCTTCACACCAGTCTTTCTGAGGTTTTGCTATAGTGCAACTTTAAAGGCATGTGCTTCTGCTCAGTAGGTGCCCGAACGCATGCTAATGAATGTAAATGTATGTAAAATGGCAGGGTATGTGTTTTTTTTTTTTCTGGAGAATCTTGGCCAGTATGGCTGGGAAGGTGTCAAGTACGGTGACAGTTTTCTGATGTGGACACCTGTCCCACAGACTGAGACCATCTGCTTTGTTTTCCCATATACAAGAAGCAAGATACATATCCTTCAGCCTAGCTAAGGGGTGAAGTTCAGGTGTAGAAACACGGCACAGATAGGCTCTGAAGTCTGACACCCCACACTTCATGGAGTCTTTCTGAGGTTACTGCCAGTGTGATGCAGCGAGCAAATACACTGGCAAGGTCGTATCTTTTGCTGACTCTCCATGGGTGTGAACATCTACTAGAGGTTCAGTGGAATAGGAAATTCAGGCCAAGTCTTTTTTGCAGGCAGTGGAGAGAAGGAAGAAAGAAGGAGCACAATGGGGCGCGGGCAGATGTGCTGCTGCAGACTTAGCGGGAGAGTTTAGTTCTGCTTGGTACCACACCCCAGCTCACATCTGCTGCTCCCCTGAGCTGAGGTGAGCTGAGCCACATTCACGCATACTGCCAATGCTCCCAATCTGCTTCAGAGGTTCATCTGACTGTACTGAAGCAAACTGGGAGCTCCCAGTTAGTCCATCAACATGGTTCAGCTGAAGAATAGTAGCAAGTAACTGGAGCTGTAAATCACCTTGCATACACAAAATTACCTCTGCTCATGTCCTAACAGGAGAGAGTTAGGCCAGCTTGCCTGATTTTGCACCAAAATGGACTTGACTCACTTGTAGTATTAGTATGGTTCAGCTACAGAGATGACAGCAAACAGTGTAAACTGGTAATATCTTAGATGAACGTGACTGTGAAGTCACTGTGTGTCTCCACATGGTATTTCCAGGCTATCAAGCAGTTCCCTCTAAATCCACATTTACCATACAGTGTTTAGTTACCACCTCAGCCTGTTGCTAATAAGGCAGATAGAAACAAATACTCCTGCTTCTTCATGAGCTGACAATTTGTTTAGGGACCAGTAAGGCGCCTTTCAAATATTCTTCAGTATTTTTGCACTGGCAAGGTTTCCTCTCTGTCGGGGATATCCAGTGATAGCAAAACAAGCAAGAGCAAGGCAGGAAATCACTGGCAGGTGACAACAGTTAAGGCCAGGTGAGAGGAAAGGATTCAAAGCCAAACAAAGCCCTAGGAAAGGTTTGGGCATCTGAAAAGCAAAACTGTGGTTTTGTGTCTAGTGCTCTTTCTAGGCGTGATTTAAGAAAAAGGGACTGATATATGACTGGGACTTGCCTCCGTCAGAAGTGGTTTTTAGGGTGAAGAAAATGTAAGGAGCTGGGTAAGTACATTTTTTTTCTAGCTTTCTGATACCTATTTTTATCCTCAATGCAGATCTTTTATGTGTGGATTTTGTAATTTAATTTACTGTTATTCTAAGCTAGGTTGCCTTAAGGGCGGCATTCCTTGAAAGTGGGGCCTGGGGCTGTTCTTGTACAACATCCTCTCCTCTATGTGTTATGTGAGCATGTCTAGGGCTAACAGACTCCATCGCTGCTATGTTCTGGTTTAGCTGCAGGTAATGCAGGGGTCTGTGTGGAAGAAACATTTTCTGATAAGCATTAGCCAAGAAAGCTTTTTAGCATGTAGAGCAAAGCTGCCTGAGCTCTATGTCCCTGGGGACGTCTGTAATAACGATTCGCTCTGTGATGGCCTTGGTGTATGAAATGAAATATAATTGACAAAATTGCAAGCCTGGCATAGTCTGCTCCAGGCATCCTCAAATCCTGAGGCAAGCTCCCCAAATCATGTGGTTAGAGTAACTGACAAGATTTAATTCTCTCTGGTTCTATTTGTCTTGGGCTTTAGTAGCTTCAAGGGGTCTTGAGTTTTCTAGCTCTTCTTTCACAGCTGTGTGAGCGACAAGTGTAAAAATGTTTTAACTGCTAATAAAAGCTGAGGGCCTTGCCCGGTGACACAGCAGCAATAGTGACAACTAATGAAGATTGATATAAATATCCTGAGATATTTCACTAAAAGTCTAAGAATGGTCAAAGTTGCCACATCTACTTGCTGTGTATGGCAAACAGAGAAGTTAGAGTTGGATGGCAGTTTCTGCATCCTCTTGCATAGGCTTCTCCTCTTTATCTTGTGTGAGATTTTTTTAAAAAATGTATATTTTTAAGGAGAACAGGGGTTTATCTCATCTCGATACATTTGTTCTGAGTTGTTTTTAAAAAGTTGTTCCAAAATGCCCAAATCCAGAGGAATTTTTCAGTCCCGAAGTGGTAACTAGCCTACAAGCAGAAATTGGATTCAGTAGTTGGAAGCGCTCCCTCGGATTTGGGAGCTTCTCCCTCCCATGGAGCTCTATTGGCATTTAAACTATATGTTTATTCAGATTGCTAAATGAAATGTCACTTTGATCCAGAAGCAAAACTTCCTGTGTAACAATGATTTGACATTTCTGACTCTCTTAAATGGATGAAAATGATGACATTAATCAAAACAAAACCTTTTCAGCTAACAACTTGGGTTCTAAAAGTAGGTATACTGAAATTAAGAAACATTTGATTGGAAAAATGCTTGCCTATATCATTCTCTCCAACTTGTAGTGGAAATTAGTAATTGTTTGCCCTATCACCAAACCCCAGTTGTGTCTTCTTTTTTGGCAAGGTGAATATTGCTTAGAAATAAAAGGCATGGTTTTCATTGGTTCTCAACAGCTTCTAAGAACTTACATACTTTTTGAAAAGATATATTGATATTGCTTCTCAGTTTTACCTTTTCCCTTTTCTGTCAGAGATGCAAAATTAATCTTTGATCCTTTAGATAGATTGTGCACAACCAACCTGAAGTTCAGAGCAAAACAAACACTTATACCATAATGTACTAGGGAAGAAATGCCAGGCTATTTTTTAGATCTTTGATATACAAGGTATGACTGGTTCTCATTAGACTCCTTCCTGCTTAGATAATTGTGATGGGCAAGCTAAGAAATGTGTTTATGTCAGGTTTTTTCTTTGCCCTTTCTAGAGGGAGCCAAGAATGTACCTTGCAAATAGATGTGTGCTTGATAACTGCGTATCAAAATGTTTTGATTTGTGTGGGGTTTCTTTATCTACTGCTGAAATTCATCAGCTTCTAGGGCAGGACACAGTAGGTCTTGGACAGAAGAGTTTCATGAAGATTTATGGTGTAGAGCACACTTCACTGGACCCGTGGGGTTAAGAATTACAGGTGGCAGAGTAAGAAAATCGGGGAAGTCGGCTCTTCTTTCATGACTATAAGAAGACACCACTTGTG